AGCCATACGGAACACATAAATACACTGTGTGGGCAGAATGCAGAGTTTTAGTATCTTGAAGTCCATACCTCACAGGGAACACACTCCGTCTCCATAACAAGGCCCAACCGGTTAACGCTGTTTAGGGAAACAATCGCTGTTTATTGTGGGAACCATACGGAANTGGTTGCAATCTGCACAGCGTGGCACGCGCTCCGTGGTCATGTGGCGCGGGTATTTCACAGGGCTAGTAAAAATGGCTTCGTATAGTGCGTGGTGCTTTCTGTAATAGTTTTAAGTAGAGTTGTGAACTTTGGTCAACATGTGACATAGTGAGAAGACTAGGATAAGAACGCCCAACCGGTTAATTCTGCTTAAGGAAATAATCGCTGTTTACTGTGAGAACCATACGGAACACATAAATACACTGTGTGGGCAGAATGCAGAGTTTTAGTATCTTGAAGTCCGTACCTCACAGGAAACACACTCCGTCTCCATAGCAACGCCCAACCGGTTAATGCTGTTTAGGGAAATAATCGCTGTTTATTGTGGGAACCATACGGAACACATAAGTACACTGTGGCCAAAATTCGGTTTCATAACGTCGAAGCAGTCGGTACGTATAGTTACCACTGTGCTTTAGAGTGTTAAGTGAGTTTGTGCACGACTCTGCGCAGCGTCTGGTTACTTGACACATCTGCTCGCGCACTGCGTCACGGCAAGAGGGCAGTGTGTCAGTGTGTACACCGCTCTGTGTCAGCAGCGTGGAGCGCCCTCTCCCAGTTAAAGCAGCGTAAGGGTACAAGAGTAACTTCGTTCCCGTGCTTAATTAAGCACTACGCCATGAAGGTATATGGCCGAGTAGAATTGTAACTCGACAGTAGAAGCTGGTGAGTGGTCAGCTTCATGTCCCCGCCGCTTTATTCCTGCAGAAAGATTCCCCCGGTCTTCACGCCACAGGAGGTTTGGTGGGCTCCAAAACTGCTTGCAGCGGCCGGGAATCGATCCCCAGCCGTTCAGCCCGTCACTATACCGATTGAGCTATCGAGAAGGACACAGGAAATTATGTAATGAGTATGTGAGGTCGTAACAGGCTTGATTATCTTTGCCATGGAGTGAAGATGGCCAATGAGGATGCTCCTGATAACAGATCGCAAGAGATTAGTCCCTTGAAAACCGAGCAGGCTTCGTAATGAGGGACTCCAGACGTTGTGTGCGCCAGGTTCTGCAAGTTCCCGGTACTAAATCTTGCTGCGGAGAAACTCACAAACTTTCTAGAGATTATTCAGTTTTTGCTGTCTGAAGTTGATTGGAACGATGTTTGTTAGCAATAGGCAGCCCTGGAGGTGAAACTCCGGGAAGTCCATGTTTGGCCGTTAGAACTGTAACAAAACTGACTCCAATGCAGACACGGGATAGCCGAGTGCACTGGCTCAAGCGATAATACATCTCACGTGTGTGTGTGTGCGGGAGGCTCTCGTTTCGAATCTTGGTCAATGCATTGACCATCCCAATATAAAATGAATATTATATCATGTGATATGACGCCGTATAGTCTGTTGAAAATTTAGGGACGCTTCGGAGGAACTTATTGCCTCCACCTTCAGGATACAAGTTTAGGAAACATTGTCACGTGTCACTGTCTCCGTCTTCAGGGTAGGTTTAAAATTTTCAACCCTTTAGAAAATCCGAAGATCTATTACAGTGTTCATGTGATCCCGCCGCTTCGTCTAAACTTGAGCCAGACGAATCCAACCCCCGGCCTTGCACCACATTTCGTTACATTATCACCTCGACTGCGCCTAAATGTTTAAGACTACACTTGTTTCATATTTTAGCCCTTAAAAGGATAGTGGTTATTATATATACCACTTGATTTAATATTAAGAATCTCTGCATTCTGCCCACACAGTGTATTCATGTGTTCCGTATGGTTCTCACAGTAAACAGCGATTATTTCCCTAAACAGCATTAACCGGTTGGGCTTTGTTATGGAGACAGGGTGTGTTCCTTGTGAGGTACGGACTTCAAGATACTAAAACTCTGCATTCTGCCCACACAGTGTATTTATGTGTTCCGTATGGTTCTCACAGTAAACAGCGATTATTTCCCTAAACAGCATTAACCGGTTGGACGTTGCTATGGAGACGGAGTGTGTTCCCTGTGAGGTACGGGTTGAATTTTTATATTATGTTTATAAGAAGACGTTGCGTAATATGTACTCTTGACTTGGCGAAGCACATTCGTAAGAGACAATCCCATCCTCTCTTCAGAGAGGTTGTTACATAAGGACTACGACCGCAAGGATTCAATTGCCAAAATATATCTCTGGTCGTGAGCTTCAAGGGGCTTGGTGCCAAGACGAACTGACTGGCAGTAAATCGCCAGGCGTAAAGTAACTCTGATGCTGACTTGTGCTTCAAAGAGGACCCCATTTTCAAACATATTAATGGTCTTGGAAGGAACAGAAATTTGGCCATGGGTCCCAACGGCAACCTAAACCATGAAGAACTGTGCTAGCGAGGNTACTTGTGCTTCAGAGAGGACCCCATTTTCAAACATATTAATGGACATATATTTTAGTTATTTTAAAGTGAAGACAAGGCATACAATGTACTAGTTTGACGTGAATTGAGTAGCACCTGAAGATGGCATTTTTATGCCGAAACATGTAGTGAGAGTGAGAGAAGAAGATAGATAAGTGTACGCACTGCAAGACGGATTAAACAAATCATGATATTAATGGTCTTCGAAGGAACAGAAATTTGGCCATGGGTCCCAACGGCAACCTAAACCATGAAGAACTGTGCTGGCGAGGACCAGCAGCAATTTACTATTATTCCATGCATGGGAAGTAGGAAAGGAAAATGAACGCCTAAGAGACGACACCTGTCAGAAGCGGACGATCCCAAACAAACTACCATACACAAAGCCTGCATGCAATTTAAGCTGCAAAGCAAATCGCATTATTCACAGTGGCACTCGGGTTGGCACAGGTCCGGGTAGCAAGTCTCACGCAGCCTTGTTACATGTATATCCGTAATCCTGCGTTTATTAATCCAATTCCAGAAAACAATCAAATGTTCGCTATTTGAAACCAGCTGTCTGCCTCGCGCACTTCTGAGAAGAGTTAATTACAAGCAATACCCAGGGGTGAGAATGGTTTTCACAACTGAGGAGATGCTCTGGACGCGCAGAGAACCCCAGAGGAATGACCACCACATGTTAACACGAAATTATTACGATGCAGGCTCGTGAATTCCTTCCTAAATAAATCGTTTTCTTTTTGGAACGGTGGTTATGATGTCTTACGCCGTTTGTAAATCAAAATTAAGCGTCATGAAGCCAAGTTGGCCGCATCTACTCTCGTCTACCGCAATTTCCAGCCCTAGCAATGCCGCAGTACACAGTCTAGGAGCCATGTTACGCAGTGTCGCCATGTTTGTGACTTCTAACTGCTGCACAATAGTTCACACACACACACACAGCGTGTAGCTATATTCGTAATCTGTCTACACACCAAATTTCACAAGCATGACTTCCATATCATGTTTCATGAAAATAAATTTGTTAGGGGTGCAGACAAACACACGCGCTGAAAATATGATAATTTCACTAGCCTAATTTCTTTAAAAAGATAAAATAGGCTAAAGAATTAAACATCAACGTTTCATGATTTTTTCCATATACTACCGGAAATGTTGTTAAGCTATTATCAACAAGAAAATATGAAGTTTTTCCAACGCCAAATTTCACAACCGCGACAGATAACATTTCTGCTCCACAAAATAAACAAGTTTCGAACCCGTGTCCATGACAGCCCGTTCTCTTCCAGATGTCCCGAACTTCAGACGTGCTTTGAGAGTAACACAAAGATCATGGAGTGAGCTTACAGCCGCATTTCATATGGAAGGCCATTTACGTGTTTGTGCTTCTTATCAGCCTCACATCAAGATAAAGGGAAACTTGATGCGTCCACAAAGTTACACTTTTCTTGATGTGGAGATCGAAACACAGAGGCGTCATTCTGCGTTAAGTAAGCATGTTAGCGCTGTTCAGTTCCACACAAATGTCATAGAACTAAAGTTCTGAAATACAAGTTCTGTTCCAGACAGTAATTCTTAGTACTGCATATAAAGGGCCTGATATTCTGTCGATATACAGGGTGATTCACTCGAGGGGAAGTTCCGAATTAATAATCGTAATAATTAGCCAACGAAAATAAAATTTGGTAACTTTGATCGCGGTGTCTGCCTGCCCGGTTAGTGCCACTTACTGCTACATGCGCTACGAGGATGCATAGCGTTGGCCTATGTATCCAGGCGACGGGGAACCCATTTCAGTGTGTCTCCGCATCTACCGAGATCTCTTCTGGTCATGTTCCTTTTTTCTCTGTAATTACTGAGTTACTTGTAATCATCAACTCAGGGAATTTTGGAAAAGGAGCAGGGATAGCGTAGTCGGTACAGCGATCGGCTACGGACTTGAAGACCGAGGGGTTGTAGTTCGAGTCCAGGTAGGGTCAAGAATTTTCTCTTCTCCACATTGACCAGACCGGCTCTGGGGTCCACTTAACCTCCTATCCAATGGGTACCGGGGGTTATTTCCCCGGGTGTAAAGCGGCCGGGGTGTGAAACTGACTGCTCACATCCAACTAGACACGAGGTCAAAAAATGTGGATCTATACATCCACTTCCCCTACGCCTTCATGGCGCAGTGCTTAATTAGTTAAGCACAGGAACAACTATTTACTTCCTTGGAAAGAATATACTTATATATATAATGCAAATATATAAGTAGCTACGAACAGAGGCGGTATGGTTTTTCCGAAACGTCAAGGTGTCTCCGAACTCCACGGCGTTACAATCCGCAAGACCGTACTCTCCACAGTGACCTCCGTGTGAAGCTTAAATTTTGACACGACAATAAACGTTTGGGTTTCCCGAAATGTGAGCTACTGTCAGCTTTCAACGAGTACTCCAGTCCTTGGGAGCTAGATATATAGTGCAGAAACGTCTTACCTATGTAATCTAGGTCGGGCTGCGCCATTTTGGGTAACCTTGACGTCCAAGGCTGGCAGGACACGGACTCGAGGCCATCTATTTCGTTCACTCTCTCTGCAACAGAGCGCACACAGCATGAGCCCTTCAGAGCCGAGAGGGGGGGGGGGTGAGAGGCACTGCTGTTCACGGGGAGAAACAGAAAGAAAATCGAGGCTGTGAGGCAGTGCCCGCTCCTCCCTCTGGAAAATGTAAATAGGAAAGAAGGTAAAGTGTTGGGAAGTGAAGAAGGTAAAAGTAAGGGAAATGGATTGTTTTGTGGTTATGAAAAGGGGAAGAGGAGCAGGGGCTTTACGTTCATCTACAAATCTATAATAATCCAGTCCGTACCTCACAGGAAACACACCGTCTCCATAACAACGCCCAACCGGTTAATGCTGTTTAGGGAAACAATCGCTGTTTACTGTGAGAACCATACGGAACACATAAATACACTGTGTGGGCAGAATGCAGAGTTTTAGTGTCTTGAAGTCTGTACCTCACAGGAAACACACTCCGTCTCCGTAACAACGCCCAACCGGTTAATGCTGTTTAGGGAAACAATCGCTGTTTACTGTGAGAACCATACGGAACACATAAATACACTGTGTGGGCAGAATGCAGAGGTTTAGTATCTTGAAGTGCGTACCTCACAGGATACACACTTCGTCTCCATAACAACGCCCAACCGGTTAATGCTGTTTAGGGAAACAATCGCTGTTTACTGTGAGAACCATACGGAACACATAAATACACTGTGTGGGCAGAATGCAGAGTTTTAGTATCTTGAAGTCCGTACCTCACAGGAAACACACTCCGTCTCCATAACAACGCCCAACCGGTTAATGCTGTTTAGGGAAACAATCGCTGTTTACTGTGAGAACCATACGGAACACATAAATACACTGTGTGGGCAGAATGCAGAGTTTTAGTATCTTGAAGTCCGTACCTCACAGGAAACACACTCCGTCTCCATAACAACGCCCAACCGGTTAATGCTCTTTAGGGAAACAATCGCTGTTTACTGTGAGAACCATACGGAACACATAAATACACTGTGTGGGCAGAATGCAGAGTTTTGATAATGTTCAAACAGATGGTACATAGAGTTACCATTATTTCTTAAATGGGTAAACTACGAACTCATTTCTGTTCAGCCATGAATTTAGTCATACACACACTAAATGACTGTTCAACGACGTACACAATGAGGCTGTCTCTGCCTTAATTAGGAGGCGTTCAGACTCAGTGCCAGAAAGTACGTCGGACAGAGACCCTGGTTTCGTATATCTTTATGTTTATGTGCTTTGTTTAACGACGCTGCATCTCAGCCCCTACTGGCCCGGGCCCGAGGCTTGCGAATTGCCATGCCAGTCAGGGACTGGTGCAGTGAGGCGCATCTGAGTTCACAGCACCGAGAGACTCAGTCTCTTACTAAAGAAAAGGTTCTTTGTCGTTTGTGCGGGTCACCGAGCAGGTTAGGTCAAAGTGCGCGAGTTTAATAATTCACAACGCCAGTGCTTTAATTACGTCACACGGCAGGTGGAAGGGAGCGAGAGAGTGAACGTCCGTTGCACTTCCCAGCTCAGCAGCGGAAGTGGGGCGGCACCCCCTCCCACACTGACGGATGTAAGAACTTAAGGCAACGGAACTCAACTGCTATGCATTCAGAGCAAAGTTACGGGCACGTCACAGCAAAGCTTCGATATTGGCGGAATGGTTTGAACCCTGAGGACGTAGGCAGTATATATTCCGAAACGTTAATACACGCGTATCTGAGTATACAGTGTCATAACCTATTGTTTTAGGATGCGGTGATAGTATGGAGCTATGGTGGAATGACGATTAGTAGGGGAAAATTAAAGGAAGAAAGCTGTTAGAGAAATCTAAGCCAATGCCAGTTTATCCTCCACAAATCCCAAAAGAGTCCACCCTGGGTTGAGAGGCCGGAGCCTAACAGGCATGTAAATGTTGCGACGTTGAGACAGGCGATACTTATACAGGGTGATTCACTCGTTAAGGGGAACGAAATTAATAATTACACACCACGCAATAATTTTGTCGATGAGAACAATAATTGGCGAGAATATTCCTTGCCATATGCGGAGATAATTGTGTTACAGAAGCTACTGCAATTGTTTCCCTACACCTGGAGACGCAGGCCGACACGACGCTCCAGTGTTGCCAACCTTGCAGCAGGAATTGCAACAATTGGCACGAACCGGGAAGACAGGCACCGCAGGTCATTGTTGCTAAGTACACAGTGCTGCCAAGTTTCGTTTTCATTGACAAATTATTGCGTGATTTGTAACTATTAATTCGGGGACTCCCTGCGGGAATGTTCCCTTACACGTGACTAACATACTTTGAGGGCAACGCTTACGATGGCGCAAGCGCCGTGATTTGATTCGGAATGCTACTGGGAACCCATATACCAGTGGTGCATACAGCTCGAAACCATTTCCACATCATGACCAACAATTTAATTATATTGAGAAATGGGAAAAGCACGGCATTTGGTGGGGCTGGGTAAACAGACTGTACATGTCCCAGCATCCAAGACACTGAGAATTCTGTACGTGAACTAGACACACACAAACACAAGATGCGTTGCATTCTGGGATACAGAATCCTACAAGTTCACCGATATTCTGAAGAGACGTCCTGCCTCCTTCTTCAGGACTGAAAAAGCAAGCAAGAAGAAAGCAGAGCTCTTTTCTGTTCTTATTTCCTTATGATTATATACTGATGCTGAGTGGACTCCGAAACGTCGGAGTAAACTTATAGCTGACTACACGGCGTCACATCCAAGAAGATAGAACTCTTCTAGAAATGTGTCCTGTTTTTATACTGATAATTTTATATACACTTAAGTTCGGAAAGTTTATCTTTCTTAGAGCATCTGGCATTTTGCAGTGACTTAACCCGTTTATGTCCTGTCATTTAATTCAAATTTCCTTGCCAGGAGCATGAGAATACCGTACTGTCTGTGTGTACGCTTTTCAACTGTTAAACAAGTTGGCTGATTTTTCACGAAATCGCCAGTAGAGGCCACTCCAGTTTCTGTAGCCGGTAATAATTACGCGGTAGTCGACCAAACTTTTGACACAAAAGTGACATTAGCAACCCTAAATTTAGGGTTCTGAGTGGAGGCACGTTTGCGGAAAATATTCAGATTTTATTAATGCACTTCTTTGTAGTCTGTAGAGAGCGAAACGTTTCTTTAGCTTCTGGTTTCACGGCAGTAACCAATGTTATCGCATATTCCCGAGACCAGGGGAAGTTCCCGGTAAAGACAGGTTTGGGTTGAATACGCGTTCCGCGTTAGGCAGGTCTGGCGGTTATTGTTTCACGACTTCCAGTAGCAGCAGTGGCAGGGGATCTGACAAGCGAATGTTGGTACAGACACAGTTCTGCTCCATCTGAAATCGATTGCACAGGCTCATTTGGAACAGCGAATGGGGTAAGATTGCAGGCGGTGTGGGGAGTGGGCCGGAAATTGTAATGGGAGAATGCTGTAGCAAGTAAAGAAGACCGCCTCATCTTCCTTTGAGACATTAAGTTCACCTCAATGCGTGGAATTTATAAACCCAGTTCGTACCTCACAGGAAACACTCCGTCTCCATAGCAACGACCAATCGGTTAGGGATATAACGGCTGTGGTAATCACAAGGAAAGCAGCAGATCACTTGAGAAGCCAGCAGTTGTCAAGACACTCAAGAAATTCCTGGCACTTTAAGGGTTCCGAAGGTTCATGATCATGTTCACAAGATGCCACTACTTGTCCCTGTCAGGAACCAGACGAATCCTCTCCACACCTTCATATACTATTTTCTTGAGATACATTTTAATATCATCCTCTCATATACTCCCAGATCTTTCAGTTGGTGACTTTGCTTCACACTTTCCTTCCACAATGAAACGTTTAAATACGATGTACGTGGTTAGGAGCAGCGCATTCTGCTGTGTAAGCCTGCATTGACACGAAACCTCTGCATACCTTGTATAGATGTGACTTAGTACAGTGCAGTGACAGAGCCCACAGTGACCTGGACGCCGTGACAGCGCGGATAGACTCGTGCTGAAACTGCGGTGCAACAAACGTAGCGCCTACATAGAGAGGCCGACCCCTGTACAGTACAGTGCAGTGCAGTGACAGAGCCCACAGAGACCTGGACGCCGCGACAGCGCGGATATACCCGTGCTGAAACTGCGGTGCAACAAACACAGCGCCTACATAGAGAGACCGACCCCTGTACAGTGCAGCGCGGATAGACTCGTGCTGAAACTGCGGAGCAACAAACGTAGCGGATACATAGAGGCCGACCCCTGTACAGTGCAGTGCAGTGCAGTGACACAGAGCCCACAGTGACCTGGACGCCGTGACAGCGCGGATAGACTCGTGCTGAAACTGCGGTGCAACAAACGTAGCGCCTACACAGAAAACCCGACCCCTGTGCATTGCAGCGCAGTATAAGCGGCAGGTAGAGATTCAAACCAAACACAGCTAGAAGTGTACAGCGCTACCGCCGAGCAAACCTGCTCGACAAACCACCTTGTTAGTACGTTAGCTATTCGAGCTAACAAAATTTTCTGTAAATAACGCATTGCTTTTGTTACTGTACAGGCGCCCTTTTCACACCTGTCCTATGGCTGCGCATGAGAACACACGTGACAAGTTGCGGGGCAGTGACTGTGTCTGCATTGTGAAAGGACCTGTGACGCACTATAATAAAGATCCTGATGAAGCCCACACGCGCCATACAGTCAGTAATTCAGTGGACTCGACCAAACCCACTGCGCAGTGCGTTGAGAACGGCCAGGTCTAGGAAGTCGGACTGTACATGATTTCACTCTACACTGCCCCCCTCCCCCCGTATGTAATGCAGTCGGTGGAGGCCTCAAAAAGGTGTTCGTTTAAACATTAAATTCATTTTAATGTATATGCAAAGCCTTTGCACGCATCAGCAGTCGCCCCGTCAGCGGGTCTGTAACTTAGGCTTACAAAGCGAGTGCAGATGCCGGGTCCACGCAGTTCTGAATGCGGCAAGACATATCGGCGTCCACTGCAATGCGCG